GTCAAACTAAACCAAAGAGATCAATTATTAACTTTATAGAACATAAATTTAACCCTGGAATAATCATTAGATCAAAATGTCAATATATCAGAAGTGACGTTAATAATATAGGCCTACAAACTTTTCGAAATTAAAAATTCAGCAAATAAATGAAATAGTAAACAAAGAAGGCAAAGCAAGGATAATATTATAGAATATTACTCTGACATATACTCCTCTGAAAACATAGTCTCTGACGCCCACATTCGTATCTACGGCGGCCATTGGACTACTTTCGTCTTCCATATTGTTGACATCTGACTAGTCTCTGACACCCAGACTTCTGTCTACGAGGAGCCTTCAAGGACGATAACTTACATCTGACGAACTATATTTTGTAACGCGGAAATAACTTCCACTGCTTCCTACTAACATTTAAAGAAGATTTTCTTCCATCTGTATACGAGGTTATTGTAAGACAATTGCCACCGTAGATACGAATGTGACGCCTAAACCTATACCTCTCTAGTCTGGCAGTGTTCATCGAAATTTCTGTTACGACGCTTTCAAATTCCATCAAGGGAGATAATTACAATTAAGCATATTCGGCCTCCAAGTATCAAACAAACAAATTAGCCGTTTTGTCAGTTTATATGTGATAATTTTATCCGCAGATGTTCTATAAGTGAAAGTGTATCTAGTCTCTTTTTTGTTTTTGTAACGAATTTTGAATATTATGGACCATGGTTTGTTTTTATTATAAGCCAACATGAAATGGGGAGGGGTGCGTATATTTTCGTCCGTCCGTCTGTCCACTATTGCTCGTAAACACTCTACAAGGCACAACTCTTGACTGATTTCAACGAAACGTGGTATGGTTGTTTGTAATGACCCAAGGATGAACCCTATTGCAAATCAGAAATATCGAAAAATATTTAATATGAGTTATTGCCCTTGTTCTTGAAACGCTCGTAAACACTCTAGAAGGGGCAATTCTTGACGGATCTTTATGAAACTTGGTTTGAGTGTTTATCACCCAAGATGGACCCTATTGAAAATCAGAAAAATCGAAACATAATAAGTATGAGTTATTGCCCTTGTTCTTGAAAATGCGTTCAATTTTTAGCACGTAAACACTCTTGAAAGCACAATTCTTGGCGGATTTTGGTGAAATTTGATGTGAGTGTTTCACCTAAGGATGAACCCTATCGAAAATCAGAACAATTGAAAAATATTTGGTATGAGTTATTGCCCTTGTTCTTAAAAACGCGTTCAAGTTTTAGCCTGTAAACGATCTAGAAGATCCAATTCTTGACAGGTTTTGATGAAACTTGGTAATATTTAATGAAAGAAGAAACTGTACATTTAACCTAACTAATTTTTTTTTTAATTAAATCATCATAACAATTTGTTCTTTCTCCCACAGTACATTATTGTAATTGTGTATGTATTGTATACATGTATAAATTTGTATGTATTTGTATGTTTTTGTACATATTTGTTTTGTATATATATACATATATAAACTAGGGTTGTCATCAATATAAGAAAAAAAACATGTTGTTACTCTGAGTTGAGTAATTATTTATTATATATAATTATGTAAATAATGTATTTTGTAATTGTCTGATAAGCACATTGGCTCAAAGAAATAAAGATTAGATTAACGTAGATAAGAATAGATTATCAGATGGCATATGTCAACCTAATTAGCTCTCTATTGACTTGATAAATCCAATCTATTGTATTAATCTTGTAATTTCATTAAGGGATTATTGTCGAGTTTTGTCAATAGTTAATTATAAAATGATAATTGTCCAGTCATTATATTGGTTGCTTCATGTCGTGTCAAGTATGTAGTTGAATAGAGCAGTCTAATCAAAATCATAACAGACTTTCGTTACGTTTTTTTAGTAGCTTTTATTTTTAATATTGTCACTTAAGCCAATCAAATTCTTGCCCTCTCGATTGCTATTATGCTTCTCAGAATGCACCGTTTGTTCGCGTTACAAAATCCAAGCGTTGGAGAGGGCAAGAATTTGATTGGCTGTCGGTGTCGTCAAACAGGCGATTATTGAAGAAGGCGGTCGTAGGACCCTAACTGAAGTAGCTATATTAAAAGAAGAAAAATACTGAACGAAAGTCTGCTCTAATCTTAATAAGACTGTTGAAGAGGTGTGAAAATGGTTGAAAATTTTACCGGCTTTTTATTCATTGTGTGGTTATACTGAACGTAATTGTGTTTTATATATTTCAGTATGTCAGTAATAATTTATACACAGAAATTTTGTCGCTGGAAGATAGTAAAATGGATTCTAGTGCTAATGTTATTTGTAATCTTCATAAATATCATTTTAAATGACACTGCACTTCGTTTTATGTCATTCCAATGTGGTTTTTATCCATTTACAAATAGCGAGTGTTTTACAGACTCCAGAAAACATAACTATATATACATTCATTATGAGTCAAGATTATGTAATGGTGAAGTTTTCCTTCTGATGATGGTTCTATCAACTCCTAGTGATTTCATCATCAGACAAACCATCAGAGAAACGTGGGGATCTTTCGCTTCCAGCAAATCTAATATTCGTCTAGCTTTTATGCTTGGGAAATTGGAATCAGAAATATTTGACAAAAAAATTGAAGAAGAAAGTGAGATTCATCATGATATTATACAGAAAGATTTTATAGATTCTTATGGTAATCTAACTTTAAAATCAGAATCTGTTTTACATTATTCGGCTTTTTATTGTCAAAATGCTCAGTATATTTTAAAGGTTGATTCAGATATGTTTATAAATGTACCGTTATTATTAGATTCTTTAAAAAATTCGGATGATGGAGTGAGTATTATAGGTCACAAATTAGATCAAATAAGACCAACTGTAGACAAAACTAACAAGTGGTATATTGATCCGTCAACATATCCGTTATCCTACTTCCCGGATTATACCTCAGGTCCATGTTATGTTATTCCTGGAACATTCACAAAGTCTTTATTTAAAATGTCTCTGAAAACCAGATTGATACGCTTGGAGGATGTGTATATTACAGGTATATTAAGAGCAAGGCTATCATTTCCAATACGTCATAATACCAAGTTTCAACTGAGAAAGTGTTATTTTGATTCTTGTAACATTCTGAACGGTATATCTTGTCATAGACATTCAAGTAATGAAATTATTCAATTGTGGGGGGTATTTGAAAAATGTTTCAAAATGTGCAGCGATTCTAATACATGTTTTAATGTTACATAGATCTGTGTAATAAAAGAATTTCTAAAATCAAAAATTGCCTTCAATTAATGATTATTTAAAGTTATTCATACTAGGTCTATATATCTGCAACTGTGCAGGCAACCTTAACGATGGCTCAAGTAAATCTTGTTACTAGTAGAATTAGTCCGAAACATCTGCCTCTTTTCCAGCCTCTGATAGATATTTTGACAGTCATCGGCTGGAGTAGACCAGCTGACAACTCTCAAAATAGCTCTCATAGATTGGAATAGAGGTAGATGTTTCTGTCTAGCCTGTCTATAAGAAGAACAAAAATCATAATTATTTTCCAAAAATTATATGCTAGACTGCACAATGCCATCCAATTTTGATGAAACTTGGTATGAGTGTTTAAAATGATAAGAAAACTTGAAAACATTTGAGCATTCTGTTTATCTTTTCAACATTCAGAGCTTGATGGTCACAGTCCTCAAAATTTTCAACAATGGACTGCTCAAATCAACAGTGCTGGAGGAGTTTTTATCCGTTTTAACTACCGTATTGTTTGAATTAGGGTGCGAATAGACGATGTACGGTGTCCGGTGCGGTATGCGGTGCGGAAATATCGATACAGTAGAAAATAGTAAAAGGAAATCGTGTCCGCATAGTGTCCGGACCCATACCTCATATGTTAACTTAACTACTGTATCGATAATCCAGCACAATACATCATATTACCGGATACAGTAGGCCTGCATCGTCTATTCGCGGCTTAACCATGCTTTGGAACGGCTCCTGCCTACAGAACATTACGCTACAAAGCAATTTTTTACTGTCGAACTACAAATATTTGTTCAATTTTGAGATGTCAATTATGTGCCAGTTTTTGATTAACCTACAATAATTAGTTTGCTAGGCCATACCGAAACCAAACGGTGATGCGTGTATCATACATGATGCGAGTCAACCAATTATTCATTAAACTCGCTGAAAAATTAAGATGAATTGTTTGTCTTGTCAAGTTAAAAAGTTGAGCCTAAGAAAATCGCATAATTCCTTAAAAAATACTTCAAACTAGGAATTTGACTCACTAATTCCATGCAAATTTCGTACATGGAGACCATTTACATAAATTCAAGACTCAAACCAACCCCCAAAAGTGGCGCATCTATCCCTTTAAATGCCATATTGATAGAGGCCTTTTGGGAAAATTGTAGTAATGTTTTTTTTTTACGTGGGGTAACAGCTCTGCCTTAAGTCAAACTGAAATTTATTTAAGGAAAATAAATTGTGGCAGCAGTCATGTAGCCTATAGTTTAGTTAATCTAGTCTGCCATTGCTATCGATGTAAAGCTCTGAGAATTATAAGTGGTAAAAAAGTGTTAGTTTTCAAATAATACAAGCATTTAATGTTCTTTATTTAGGTACATGTACATGAATGAATTCGAGAGAATGAAAATTAAATTTTGAAATGTTTTAGGTCCTATCAAGTTTTATCATGGTATTACATAAAATAACAATAGAAACGTCAGTTCCCTAACTGACAATGATATAGGCTAAGGCATTTATTTTCCCTCAAAAAAGGCAAAATTCTTCAGTTCGAAATTGAAAAATATGAAACTTCAAAACTAAGTAACTATAGTATAATATTAATATAAGTAATTGTGTTTTATATATTTCAGTATGTCAGTAATAATTTATATACAGAAAATTCATCGTTGGAAGAAAGTAAAATGGATTCTAGTGCTAATGTTATTAGTAATGTTCACATTTATCATTTTAAATAATATTTATCTTCGTTTTATGTCATTTCAATGTGGTTTTCATCCATTTGCAAATAGCGAGTGTTTTACAGACTCCAGAGAACATAACTATATATACATTCATAATGAGTCAAGATTATGTAATGGTGAAGTTTTCCTTCTGATGGTGGTTCTATCAACTCCTAGTGATTTCATCATCAGACAAACCATCAGAGAAACGTGGGGATCTTTCGCTTCCAGCAAATCTAATATTCGTCTAGCGTTTATGCTTGGGAAATTGGAATCAGAAATATTCGACAAAAAAATTGAAGAAGAAAGTGAAAATCATCATGATATTATACAGAAAGATTTTATAGATTCTTATGGTAATCTAACTTTAAAATCAGAATCTATTTTACATTATTCGGCTTTTTTTTGTCAAAATGCTCAGTATATTTTAAAGGTTGATTCAGATATGTTTATAAATGTACCGTTATTATTAGATTCTTTAAAAAATTCGGATGATGGAGTGAGTATTATAGGTCACAAATTAGTTAACGAAAGACCAATTGTAAACAAAACTGAAAAGTGGTATATTGATCCGTCAACATATCCGTTATCCTACTTCCCAGATTTTACATCAGGCACATGTTATGTCATTCCTGGCATATTTACAAAGTCTTTATTTAAAATGTCTTTGAAAACGAGATTGATACGCTTGGAGGATGTGTATATTACAGGTATATTAAGAGCAAGGCTATCATTACCAATACGTGATGACGACAGATTCCATACACAAAAATGTGGTTTGAATCCTTGTAGCACGCTACTGAATAGTATATCTTGTCATAGACATACAAGTGATGAAATTATTCAATTGTGGGGGGTATTTGAAAAATGTTTCAAAATGTGCAGCGATTCAAATACATGTTTTAATGTTACATAGATCTGTGTAATAAAATGTGTTTCAAAATGTGTACAGATTCTAATACATGTTTTAGTGTAACATAGATCTTTGTAATAAAAAATGTTTCAAAATGTGCAGCGATTCTAATACATGTTTTAATGTTACATAGATCTGTGTAATAAAAAATGTTTCAAAATGTGTAGCGATTCTAATACATGTTTTAATGTTACATAGATCTTTGTAATAAAAAATGTTTCAAAATGTGTAGCGATTCTAATACATGTTTTAGTGTAACATAGATCTGTTTAATAAAAAATGTTTCAAAATGTGCAGCGATTCTAATACATGTTTTAATGTTACATAGATCTGTGTAATAAAAAATGTTTCAAAATGTGTAGCGATTCTAATACATGTTTTAGTGTAACATAGATCTGTTTAATAAAAAATGTTTCAAAATGTGCAGCGATTCTAATACATGTTTTAGTGTAACATAGATCTGTGTAATAAAAAAATGTTCCAAAATGTGTAGCGGTTCTAATACATGTTTTAGTGTAACATAGATCTGTGTAATAAAAAAATGTTCCAAAATGTGTAGAGATTCTAATACATGTTTTAATGTTACATAGATCTGTGTAATAAAAAATGTTTCAAAATGTGTAGAGATTCTAATACATGTTTTAATGTTACATAGATCTGTGTAATAAAAAAATGTTCCAAAATGTGTAGAGATTCTAATACATGTTTTAATGTTACATAGATCTGTGTAATAAAAAAATGTTTCAAAATGTGTAGCGATTCTAATACATGTTTTAATGTTACATAGATCTGTGTAATAAAAAATGTTTCAAAATGTGTAGAGATTCTAATACATGTTTTAGTGTAGCATAGATCTGTGTAATAAAAAAATGTTTCAAAATGTGTAGAGATTCTAATACATGTTTTAGTGTAGTATAGATCTGTTTAATAAACAATGTTTCAAAATGTGTAGCGATTCTAATACATGTTTTAATGTTACATAGATCTGTGTAATAAAAAAAATGTTTCAAAATGTGTAGCGATTCTAATACATGTTTTAATGTTACATAGATCTGTGTAATAAAAAGTGTTTCAAAATGTGTAGAGATTCTAATACATGTTTTAGTGTAACATAGATCTGTGTAATAAAAAAATGTTCCAAAATGAGTAGCGATTCTAATACATGTTTTAATGTTACATAGATCTGTGTAATAAAAAATGTTTCAAAATGTGTAGAGATTCTAATACATGTTTTAGTGTAGCATAGATCTGTTTAATAAAAAATGTTTCAAAATGTGTAGCGATTCTAATACATGTTTTAATGTTACATAGATCTGTGTAATAAAAAATGTTTCAAAATGTGTAGAGATTCTAATACATGTTTTAATGTTACATAGATCTTTGTAATAAAAAAATGTTTCAAAATGTGTAGAGATTCTAATACATGTTTTAGTGTATATAGAATATCTGTGTAATATAAGAATTTCTAAATTAAAGATTGCCTTCAATAGAATGATTATTTAAACATTTCATGTTATTCATACATGAATGCCTATATCTGCAACTATGGCAACCTTAACGATGGCTCAGGTAGATTTCGTTACTAGCACAATTAGTTAGAAACATCTGCCTCTATTTCATCCTCTTGGCAGTCATCGGCAGGAGTAGACTTAGCTGATAACTCTCAAAATAGCTATCAGAGACTGGAATAGAGGCATATGTTTCGGTCTTCTATTATCCCTTTTAGCATCCTCGATCGATTGCATTAACTTCCTTCCCTCTATAAATCCTTTTATTATTTTCTCCAAGGTTTGTTCTTGCAATATGTTTCATGTCCGAGAATATAGCCTGTCTGGACGAACAACTTAAATCAAAAATTTTATTCATAAAAATGAAAATGCTAATTCTTAATGAATAGAAAGTAGAGGTGTAAAGACTTTGAAAAATACCAGTTTGTCTCACATGTCCATAATTAATTCATTACCAGCAGTAGCATATTCCAATGAGTGACCGATGAAGAAAGGTAAAAAAGTCTTCTTTTTTTGACTACCCAGACTGTATATACATGGACATTTACGATTGGTTCAATCTTTTAATTATATGGAATAAAAACATAAGTATATGATTAAGAATACATGAGAATTAAAACACCAATTTAATCAAATAGTTTGCTTAATTTTACACTAAAAAAATAAGGAAATCCATCTTTATTATATATATAAACATGGTTTATGATGTTAGGGGTGAGAACCAGGCCGACTCTCGAAGATAGTATTCCTGTATTTGGAGGCTTGTTGTATTATAAGGCTACTGGAATATCCACTTGTAATGATTTACTTACTTCACAATAAGTTTATGGGAGACAACTCCAAAAACTTTTTCAACGGGAGACAACCCTTCTATGTAATCAAAACTACAACTTCCGGCTGATACTGGCCAATCAAAACTCAGATTTCAATCCGTTTTGTTTGAAAGATCCAATTTGATTGGCTATAAAATTTTGAGATTCATTTTCGAAAACATTTGGCTCTTCGGAAATTTACATGATTTTAATGAATTTTAGATTTTTATGAGTGAAAATTGACTAATAATGGCTTCAAGGAAAGTTGAAAAAGATCAGAAAATTCAAGTGTCTTTGAGATGTCGGTAGGTAGACCATTAATAACAGACATTACTCATTACACGGTACAGATTGTTGAAACATCTTAGACTTCGACCTTTTTTAGACCATGAGCATGGATTTTTATCTTATCTCTCATTTCTCAAATAAGGTCTTTTGAAAGTAAAATTTCTGAAATAAGCTTATCATACCACTTTAACATAGCCTATTTACGGTTTCTTAGGCCTAGGCCCTATCGTACGACGTAGGAATAATATTTGATTAGAATTATTTTACATTTTTAAACTAAACTGAAAATAGTCCTCTGGCTCTAATATACAGTGGCAGTGGTGTAACCTATATAGGCTATATTCATGCATGTAGGCCTATTGTATATTTCTAAATAAAAGGTTTCAACTATTTTTATTCAACTTGGTAGATCTTTGTAGGTACCATATTATATATCAAATGAAGCTGTAACAGCCAAGTCGTGAACCTACTTGTGGACATACTTTGACATGTCTTTATTATCAAAAAATCAATTGAATTGCGTGTTCGTTTGTATTTTCAGACCTTTGAATGGAATCGAGAAGAAACAAGCCTCTTATTCTATAGTTGATTGTAATAAAGATAAGAAAGAGGTGACAGTAAAGGAAAAACTTGGTGTCAATCCCTACACAAAAACGTTTAATTTTGATCATGTCTTCCCTCCATCTAGTAAACAAATTGATGTATATAAAAGTATTGTTACACCCATTGTTGATGAAGTTTTACAGGGCTACAACTGTACCATTTTTGCGTAAGTATTTCTGCAGACTTCTATTATTGTTTGTCAGTACAGCAACAAATGAATTTTTCCCATCTCAGTTTTCTCAGTGTAACACTCAGGACTTCTGTCAAAAATGTTCTAAAATAAATCAACTGACATCACTTTATTGTTCTTACAGGGGCATTCCATTTTTTTTGTTAAAAAATTTATTATTAAAAACGTCGTAAACTATACCGGAATATATTTCTAAAGTATGCTATTTATATCTATGTATTTTCTTGATCAAACTGAATTTGTTTTAAAATTTAAAATGGAGGGTACTAATTGTTAATTAAGTAGCTTGACCTAGTAATGGAGTTGGACTTTAAAATGGCTCGATATTATTAGTTAAAACCTGTAGAATATGTTGGAGACATATTTCTCTGCACTTAGCCATTTATTTTGCTTATATTTTTTTAGTAGTTTTCAACAGCTTTCAAAAAGCATAACAAACTTGAAAAGTTTACTTAAGACTTAGATATTTTGGGCGTTGGCTGGATTTTTAAGTCCAAACAAAGGGATTCATTTATGTAGATTTTGGTGACTTTGTATGAAATATAAAATTTAGATTTGAATTTTAAAAAAAAACAAGTTTAGATTGAGCTCAAAATAGACCAGCATATAGAACATATAGCCTAAGACTGCTGAGTTAAAGCAGTGATTCACATAGTATTCTTAGATATTTTGATATTAATTTTTTGTTGGTAGATATGGTCAAACTGGTACAGGTAAAACATTTACTATGGAAGGTGAAAGAAGTAAAGACAGTGATGTTTCTTGGGAAGATGATCCTTTAGCTGGTATTGTACCTAGAGCTATGTATCACATATTTGAAAAGCTTTCAACACAGGTGAGTGGCTGGTATAGCGTTGATGTGACGTTGAAAAAACCATCACAAAGAACATCCCAAAATTTCCACAAGCTGAATTTTTAGTATATTTTCTTCATGAAGAACAATATATATCATGGGTGACCGCTTGAAACCTCGTATAACTATTTATGACGCGAAGTTCTTTTTCGAGAAAAAACTATTTTTTATTATTTTTTTACCGCTATACGTGATTTTTATTCTTTAAAAATTTAAACCTTGTATAACAATTTGAGTGCTCGTCCTATTCAACTAATAACTCGTATAATACTACAGTATATGAGGTTTTTCGTTTTCATCCACAGAAAAAGGAACATTGAACCTCATATAATATAATGTTTACGAGGTTTTAAATCTGATTGATTATATATGTGTTATTTAATTAGTGGTTTTTGGGTTTATTTACACTCAGACTAAGAATAAGGGGTTCAAACAGTACCAAAAAGTCAAAATGATGAAATATAGCATATACCAGGTTTCAAGTGGTCACCCACGATATGCCATTGGACACCAAGTTTCTGTTTCTTGTAGCCATGACTTTTGTTTGAAGACATTGTTGAGGAGTGTCTTTAAAAGAAGATTTATCATATAATTTTAGGAAGTTGAGTTTTCAGTGCGTGTATCATATTTAGAATTGTATAATGAAGAGTTATTTGATTTACTTGGTTCAACAGAAGATTCTCTCAGACTCAGAATTTATGATGATGCCACTAAAAAGGTATCAGTAATCATTTATTTGTTTAACTTTTGGAATACAATAAGTACTGTACAAGGTCATCTAAATATTTAATCTGGCAAAGTGTGCCAAGTTATGTCAAGGTATTAGACTGAGCTTGATATATTAAACAAAGACAAAAACAAGCACCTCTTGTATAATTTACACAAACTGTTTGTTTTTCTAGGGATCAGTGATTATACAAGGTTTAGAAGATGTAGTAGTAAGAAATAAAAATGAAGTGTATCAGATATTAGAACGTGGTGCTGCTAGAAGACAAACTGCTGCTACATTGATGAACGCTACTTCAAGGTATGATTTACTTTCAGATTTTCAATCAGACGTCTGTGGTTATTGCAATTCCACTAAAACTAAATGTTTGAGGATGTCACTAATCACTAATGCCATCCAACACTAAGTTTTAGTGGAATTGCAAGAGTCATAGACATCTGATTGAAAATATGGTGCAAATTGAAGCTATCAGTGTCCCTGATTTGAATACCTCTTTACAATCCCTTTAACTTGGTGTCAAAACTATACAGCATAATTCCTTAAAACTACAAGTAATTTTGCAAAAACGCGTAAAATTTAAAGTTATTTGATATGTAGTTATATGATGTTTTCAGTCGTTCTCACAGTGTGTTCTCTGTTACTATACATATCAAAGAAAACACTATAGATGGTGAAGAATTGTTGAAAACTGGTAAATTATACTTGGTATGTAGTTTTTATACACACATCTCCATGATTATTATTAATACCCACGTATAGAACTAGGCCCCATGTACTATGAGCTGTTCTTCACTAGAAAGTTATTCTGCTGACCTGGTATTATGCATTGCATGGAATTGCACAAATCAATAGTCCAATCAGATGCAAAAACAGCAAGACATCAGACTGAGCAATTTGATTCAATTTCTGGTGTCAGCTTCTTGTATACAAGGTCCCATCTGATGTGAGTTTTAAGAATTATATGACCATGGTATTGCGAAGTATCCTGATACACATATGTTTGTTTTGATGTGTTTTGATGTGATATGTTGTACAGAGATCAATGTGTTTTACAGGTTGATTTAGCAGGAAGTGAGAATATAGGTAGATCTGGAGCTGTTGATAAGAGAGCAAGAGAAGCAGGTAATGTTCAATGATACTATAAACTTTAAGGGCTGATTATTGATTACTTACAGATCATATATAATATATTATTTACAATAACATGTGTAGACATTTGACTAGAATTGATTCAAATTAGAATTGAAAGAAGATGTTCTTAACAAAAACAAGTTTTTACCTAGCACCTTGGTGTCTTGAAGCATTCTTCTCTAATCCCACTAACTCAAAACTAATAATATTTTACATCATTCAATTTGGAATTGATAAATTATTTAATGATGGTTTTAGATGAAGTTTGCCATTACACATTTCTGAGAAAGGACAGTTTTAGGCCTATTTTCTCACTGATTATAGGGTGTTAAGTGATGACAAATAGGATATCCCTTCATATGACATCGCCGTCTTATCAGTGGATGACGTAATTTGCGTTATGAACATCACTTTCAGCGTGAATAAGGTCTATGATAACGCACTTGTAGTGCATTGCTTGTCAAATAATATCCATTCAGATGTTCTATTTTGAAATATTTTCAGGAAATATTAACCAAAGTTTATTAACATTAGGAAGAGTTATTACAGCTTTAGTTGAACATGCACCTCATGTTCCTTATAGGTAAGACTAAGATAGAAGTAGACAACTTAAAGATGGGTTCCCTTATTTTTATTTATGAAAATGCTAATACTTATATGAATAGAAAATAGAGTTGTTCAAATGGCTTGGAAAAATATCAGTTTGTCTCACATGTCCATAATTGATTCATAATTAGCTAAATTAGAAGAGAATTACCAGCAGAATTCCAATGAATAACTGATAAAGAAATTCTTCTTTTGTTTATCCAAACTGTACATACAAGGACTTTTATGATTGGTTAAAACTCTTAATTATATGCAATAAGAACATAATGATATGATTAAGAATACATGATAATTCATTAGAAACACCAACTAAAAAATAAGGAAACCCATTTTTAACCTTGTATTTTCATAAAGCTTAATCAAATATCATTGATAATGGCGGTTAGCAGATGGATATCACTCAATTTCATTGATTAACAGGTTTTCTATTTGACCAATAAGGTTCTGGAAACAATATTGCGCTGAAATTCTCCGACGCTTGATATCTTGGATATGAAAATGTCTAAGCTTACTGAGTTGCAAATGTCAAGGTCGATTTTAATGTCAAAGGTCAGATCATCTATTATTGAACAATGATCAGATCACTAACTGAAGATGATGTCTTGTTAGGACTCTTGGTTATATCCAGCGCTCGTCAAAACTTTTTTGAAAAAGTGTGAAATATCTTATTTGGTTTGTAGAGAGAGCAAGTTGACAAGATTGTTACAAGATTCACTTGGAGGAAGAACTAAAACATCTATTATAGCTACCATTTCACCAGCTTCCTGTAATTTAGATGTAAGTCATTAACATATCATACGTTATGTTCTAGACATTGCAAGTGTGACTATCAAAAGAAGAAAACCTATCTAAATCACAGTCATAGGTTGTATGTGCATGTACAGTCTTGAGTACAGCCTATGCGCAGTTACAAATGCTCCATGGCATCCATGAACAAAACGAAAATTTCACTTTCTTTTGTTATAAATTGTTAAAGCGGAATGTCTCTTTTAGTTTATAATTTATTACACATTTGCATATCTTACAATCTGGAGTTCTCAAATACACCTTAAAGCTTCCAAAGCCTAAAAATCAATTAGGTGAACACAAAAAGATGTGATTTAGCCTTCCACAATAAACATTGTGTTTAAAATTGAATATGGCATATGTATGATTGAATTATACCAACAGAAAGGATTCGAATATTGGGTGGAAATATCCATAGGTTCAACCTAATTGGTCTGGTTAAAAAATTTTGTCATGGACATCACCTGTTTTTCAACTTTTTTGTGAATATTTTTAATCATAACTGTTTATATGCCTAATAATTCATCAATTTTGGAAATTCTGCAAGATTCCAGAAAATAGTTGATTTTGGATTCTGGACTAACTTGAATAACTGAGTGGTAATTATATTTTGTAGGAAACATTAAGTACATTAGATTATGCTCACAGAGCTAAGAATATTATGAATAGACCTGAAGTGAACCAGAAACTTACCAAGAAAGCTTTGTTGAAAGTAAGTAACCTTGAGATTCCTTTTGTCACTTATGTTGTCTACGTTTGATAATAAGTGTAGCTTCAAATAGAAAGGGTTGCAGAATCATTTCATTTACGGATAAGCCAAAAAAAATAACCTGGAAAAAATTACTCATTGGAAAATGGAAGTGCATAGGGCGGCAGCAGACATCAAGGAAATAGAGGTCCATAAATATTGCAGAAACCCTCTGGCTTCCAGTTGACCACACCAAGGCCCTTTAGCTTTGCTCGCTACGATTTGCTGCCCATGTTTTCCAAGTTCCGGAAATGAATTCAATGGTCATTTGGTAGACAAGATTCTTACGTCTGCTGTGAAAAATATAAAAGCTCACATTCTTTTTCTGAAATATATAATGGAATAATGTATACAGTTACATGTTTTATCTTTCCTAGGAATATAATGAAGAAATTGAAAGATTAAGAAGAGATTTACAAGCAGCGAGAGAGAAAAATGGTATTTTTATAGCTGAAGATAATTATGTGTATGTAAATTTGTGACTCTACGTATCTTTGTGGGAAATAACACATGCACCTTGGTGGGGACTAACTAACAGACATCTGGCGCTGACTCTCATGATTTTGGAAGAATCAGTTGAGAGCCTCACTTACAGGCTAAGCCAAATAATTATCTAAATGGATACATCAAACTACTGAGAACGTAACTTGATACAAAGACAGTCTTCCATAGTCAGAATGATTTTATGAGTTATAAAATGATGTGATATGAATATTTCAGTGCTATGCAGAATAAACTAATAAGACAAGATGAGTCTATTAAAGAAATGGAAGACAAGATTGAGTTTTTAACAGAAGAAATGTCCAAGGTAGAAGTATTGCTCTAATTTGATAATCTTGTCACTTCTGGACACTTGTTTTATTTTATAGGGGAATTCTGCTTTTTTAGTGAAACATTTTCATGAAAAAGTCGTAAATTATACCTGAAAATATTTCTAAAGTATGTTATTTCTATCTATGTATTTACTTGATCAAACTGAATTTGTTTTAAAAGGGTTAATTAAAAACTGAGTACTAATTGTAAGCAGTTTGACCTAGTTTCGGTGATTAGCTTTAAAATGGCTCGTTATATTTAGTTAAAATCTTTAGAATACGTAGGAGACATATTTTTCTACAATAAGGCGTTTATTTTACTCAAATCCTTACACTAGTTTTCTAACAGAAAGCAAAAATCATAACAAACTTTAAAAGTTTTGGCATTAAAAAATTAACGGCTGGATTTTTTTAGTTAAAACTTTCAGATATGTCATGGGATGCATTTCTATACATTTTGGTTTAATATTTTTTCACAAATTTGGACGAAAAAAGCGGAATGTCCCTTTAAATTCTTTATTATAGTAGTTGCCATAAAAATTATTAGATGCATTGAACTATGCTTGTTTGATTTTCAAGAATTTCCATACAGAAGTTTTCAATCTTTATGCTGTATGCTTCCCATTTGAATAGACCCAAATGTCACCCAATAAAACAGATTATGTCAGATACGAAGCTGGGTTGTTTAAATGGTTAACTGTTAAGCCCTAACTTGACTGAAAACCTCTCTGTATTCATTTTATAGTTAACAGAAATGTTTGAAGATACCAAGAAAGACTTAGAAGATACAACAGAACAGTTAGCTGTAACATCGCAAAATCTAGAGATAACAGCTGAAAATCTTGATAGAACAGAGAAAACCTTACAGATAACAGAGAAAGATAGAAATGAACAGAAATATCTTGTAACTGAACATGTCAAGACAGAGGCAGCCTTATATTCAGAGGCTTTAGAGGTATGTTGGTTATTTCTAATGTTGTTTTGGAATTTTCAGCATGGTTAATAGTAAGAGATCATTAATAGGCTTATGTTGTTGTCCTGGAAAAATTTCCCTCATTGCACACTGTATGACATAATCTCTCATCCTTAAATCAAATCAGATACGGAAAAGTAGGAAGTAAAACTCCATTCATTTTATTCTATTTTAGCTCCTTGATACAGCTGAGTCATCTACTAGTGATGTTAGTGGATTACATGCTAAATTAGATAGGAAAAAAAATGTAGAAAGTAAAAATGAAGGTCAAAGATCAACTTTTAGAGAAGATTTTCAAAACAGCATTGCTACCATGGAAACCAAATTGGAAGAATTTGCCCAAACTCAGAATGGTTATAAACAATCGTCATTGGACCAAATAGGTAAGAGATGAACACAGAAATTAGTGTTGTCCTGATGGAAATGTAAGGCCAATGTAATTCTAGGGACCAATGAAAATGTTATTGAAAATCTAATCTAAATTAAAGATGGATTGTTCAGATTTTTAAAATACTCAGATGTCTTAATTCACTGCATGTTACAGTATTCTAAAGTATGATTTTTGTATAACCTAAATTTTTGTTTTAAGTTAGAAAATATGTCTCCAGAATTATCTACATTTGAAACTTGATGACTCGCCTTTTCAGATAAAATTTCTAGTTAGAGATATTTTTGAAGGGATCATGAGCTTTCTGTGCAGTTATAGTACTACTGAAGAAGACCCAAAAATGTCGAACCATGATCTTTAAACCTTATTCCTATTACAAAAAAAAATATTGAACTCTTACTACCCGTAAAGGGACGGGTAGGCCATTTTTTGACCAATCATACTTTAGTCTCAGAAGCTAGAATTTTTTAGCTTAACCAATCAGTAATAGTGTTCACAGCTCACCGCTAAAATTTGAGCCTTCAAATCCCTGTGTGTCCAGAATTATCCATGAAAATTAAAATGACACCTCATCAATTAAGATCCTCTGTGATATATAGAAAAAAAATATATAGATATAGTGAGTAAAATTCCTAGTTTGAGATATTTTTGAAGGAATTATGTGATTCTCATACATTTCTAGTACTTCTGAAGACTATTTACATATAATTAAGACTAAAATCAACTCCACAAAGTAGCCTACCTGTCCCTTAAACCATTGTATACCATCTGACAACAATTCAACAGTGTATACACACTGGTGCTGTATTCTTTGTTTTATAAACATGATTTTCATTAGGATTATTATATAGCCACTGCTACTTTAAATAATTTTGTATTTTAGATACATTATTAAAGAATCGTTTGGGAGAAATGAATGGAATCATAAATGATGTCAACTCTTTATTACAAATAGTTAACAACAATGTTGATATAATAGATAAACAACAACAAACATCAACACAACAACAAACAACAGATATTGATGATATTATACATTATCTAACAACAACGAAGGTATTCATTTGTTTTGGAAAAATAAAGTTCAACAAAAATCTTTTGAGTTATATGGAATCTAATTATGTAAAGGGTATCGAAATGATTTAAGATATCTTGAATCCTAATGTGTTTGGGTTTCTGAAACCTCAAACCTGCTTATGTATTGGGTATCTAAAGCCTTGTAATGATTTAAGATTTCTGTAACCTGATTGTGTTTTGGGGTTTCTGAAACCTGATCATGTTTTAGGTACCTGGAATCTGATTATCTTATTGGGAGTCTGAAACCTCAAAACCTGATTATGTATCTGGTATCTAAAATCCAGTTATGTTTTAAGATATCTTAAACCGGATTGTGTTATTGGGTTTCTGAAACCTGATTATGTTTTAGGTACCTGGAATCTGATTATCTTTTTGGGAGTCTGAAACCTCAAAACCCAATTACGTATCTGGTATCTAAAATCCTGTTATGTTTTAAGATATCTTAAACCAGATTGTGTTTTGGGGTTTCTGAAACCTGATCATGTTTTAGGTACCTGGAATCTGATTATCTTATTGAGAGTCTGAAACCTCAAAACCTGATTATGTATCTGGTATCTAAAATCCTGTTATGTTTTAAGATATCTTAAACCAGATTGTGTTTTGGGGTTTCTTAAACCTGATCATTTTTAAGCTACCGGTATCTGGAATCTCATTACGTTTTGGGGTGTCTGAAAACCGAAAATTGGCTATGTGATTGGTATCTGAAAACTGCTGATATTTATTAGGTATCTGAAACATGTCAGTTGTAGGGGATTTAATTTAACAAGATTTACATGGCCAATGCAAACCTTTGTATTATTTATTTCAGAGTGGTGAAGTTACTAATTTAACTGATACAAAGGAGAAGTTACTGTTACCTACAGTTACCTCTATACAGACAACATTACATACACATTGTACAGCTTTATTACAACTAGTAACTCTTATAGGCAAACAGGTAACTCTTTATTCTTAAACTATTAGTCTTCCTGATTCAATATAGTCCATGTGATTTTTGAGTTTTAGCCTCAAAAGTGGTGGTGACTAACCATATTCTATCCCCACCTCTGAAAAAAAAAGTGGTGGAGATCTGATGAAAGATTTAAGTATGGATTAATGGAAATACCTTTTCAATTTTTAAAGATGGTTATGTAAGTGTGTGTTTTTCATTGTTTATTACAGAAAGAAGACCAAGCTAAGTTATTAGACAAACATACAGCTAGTTTGAAAGCTGAGATACAAGCTATATCAGATACTGTTAATACACATATATCTGATACAGACCATACTATTACCACTTTACAGAAACAGACTTTAACTTCTAATACATCTTACAGTAACTTACAACAGGTATGGTTTCAATTTATACATATTAATGAGATTTAGATATTATTTTAATGAACAGAGAGTTATTGCCCTTATGGGAAAAAAAGCGGTAATTTTTAAATTGTTATTTGCTATTCCCCTTTAAATCTTTTAATGTTTATTTTCTCAGTATCATAAAGTGATTTCAAATTCCAATTTTTTTGGTTATAAATTGTAATATTGTAAAACCCTATACATAATGTTTTAAATTTAATTTTGGACAGGAATTAGAGATGAAGTTAAAAGAAACTTTAGAATTAGTTAGTCAGCAAAATAAAATATTTACTCAACAGACGAAAATGGTAAATATCAACTTTATATCTTCAGTGTATATCTTCTGTTTGAGAGTTTTATTTGTTTAACAATGTTTAACCAACAGCAATCTTAAATTAACTTTTTTTTTGGAAATTAATTGAATCAGAATGGAAATGTTTACATATTTAAAGGGATTGTAAAAAGGATTACAAATTTTTTTTTATGCGTATCGGGGACACTGATAGAATCAATTTGCACCATTCCAATTTTCAATCAGACATCTGTGGTTCCTGCAATTCCACTACAACTTAGTGTTTGATGACGTCACTAATCACATAATCTTCACCCTTAGCTATTAGTGAAGCCATCAGACACTTTGTAAAGAGGTTTTCTAACTTTTCTATCTCCTTAATATGGAAATCTTTACATTTTGATATTTATGATCTATTAATAACTTCAGGTTGAAAGTAGTTGTGTAGAACATCTGACTGGTAACGCTACATTTAAACATTCATTAGAACAGTAAGTACAGAACTCTTTACCATATTTATATCATCACATTTCTCAGATTTCAATTCTAAGAAGGGATAAGGATAGTTGAGATTTAACTCTATCAGCTGGTGAAATGAATATTAAAAGAGATATAATCCATATCAATAGACCAGGGATGTTGATTGACTTCTATTTTCTGGACATGACCCGCTGGGCAGCTGAAATGACAGGATCAATATCTTCTGTTGGAAATCAAGTATTGGTCATGTCTTGACTGCAAAATTTGCGACTAATCAGTAATGGGCTACAAAATTATCTATCACTATAAACAATATTCAAGCCTCATTTGGAACACAGCGATTGCGAGGCTCATAATGCAGATTATATCATCTATTGAAAAAATGGCAATAAACTATGTGATGTCACCGAACCCCCGATTAATAGCGAGAAGATTTTCTCAAAACTAGCTTTTCTCAGAAATGTGTGATGGTAACCTTTATCTGAGGATATCAGTAAATAGCTTTAAGCAACTTTGATTTTAATGATGTAAAATTTGATAAGGTTTGAGCCAATGAGAATGGAGGAGGCATAGGTGGTGAATTTATGCAGTGTTTGTGTTATGAGCCTCGTTCTGGATTCAAAATGGCTGATGCATGGTAATCTAATAATCTATGCCTATCTATGGCATAGACTTGACAATTCTTCTAAAGAATATCTTTTATTACAGACAAACTGAAAATGTACAAGAGTTGATTAAAAAGAATGAAAAAGAAATTTTGGATGATGCTAGCTCAAGTTGTGGACAAATAACCCAAAATATAACACAGGTAATCAAATTTATTAAATAGCGAACCCATTAAACGACAAGTTTGGCTTGTGCAAATACTTTTCTATAATTTAATACTTTATTAATAATATTCATATACAGCTCAATACTGCATGAAAATTTGCAAACAGTAAAAAAAAAATCTTGTAACTTGCTGTACTAATGAATATAATATTTTCCAATAATAGGGAGCTATTTGAAAAGTATTGAAAATTTAGTATATTTTGTAGGTAAAAGAAGGCCTAGATAAAAATCAAGAAGAATTATCTACATTACATACTGATATCACAAATTCTGTTACATCACATATACAGGTATTGACACATTCTTATATCATAGCAATTTACTTTTCAGCACATTTTGCATTGATTTTAGAAAAAAACGAACTGCCTTAGATCACAACATAACAATTACACTTCTGCTCTCAGTTCATTGCTTTTATGTTTTATGAAGCATTTCTTATAGGGACAGTTGATTTTAGTCTTGAATATATGTAAATAGTCTTCAGAAGTACTAGAAATGTACGAAAATCATGTAATTCCTTTACAAAATACTTCAAACTACGAATTTTACTCATTATTTTAAGTGACTAGTATCTTAAGTTTACGAGGTGTTATTTTAATAATTCTGCGCACACATGGATTTGATGTATTTATTTAGACAAATCATTCCATAAAATGTGAAATACAAATAAATCATTATGTTATAAATGACAATGTTATATAAATACATTTCTTATAAATTATCAATTGTCTTACAGACCTGGGAAAAACATTGCAGTGAAACAGAAGAGAAACTTGAAAATTGTGAATCATTTGTAAATTCATCATTATCAACTCATCTTCAAAATACACAGGTTTGTCCAATTTCAGATCAAATTGAAATGAAGTGATCCCTACATGACTAGGAATTATTGAAATGAACTGATACCTACATGACTGTTGATTGAAATGAACTGATGCCTACATGACTAAATGAAATGAATTCATACTTACATGATTGACAGGTTGAG